CTTAGGGAGTGATAATGGGAGTGTTAATGGAAAAAGGTGGGACATGCTTTTCTCAGTACCGGTGAGTTTGCTCCCACCACATCTGATGCCCTCACTAGGAGGGCCTGAGTCTGGCTTCACACTGCTACAGCTGCAGTTCTAGAGCACTGCCTGGCACACAGTAGGTGCTCAGATAATACCCACCATATGGTAAGCTCTGCAGAGAACAATTCAGACGAGGCCCTGCTGTAGAGTTCATGTTGTGCCTCCTTTTCTCTGAACATTGTGGGAAATAGGGAGCCTCGGAGGGTTTGAGAGCCAGGGAAGGGAAGAATCTCCTGGAATGGCTCGGCGCCTGTGGCTCAAGTGGCTAAGGTGCCAGCCACGTACCTAAGGTGGCGGGTTCGAATCCGGCCCAGGCCCGCCAAACAACAATGACGGCTGCAACCAAAAAATAGCTGGGCGTTGTGGCAGGCGCCTGTGGTCCCAGCTACTTGGGAGGCGGAGGCAGGAGACTCGCTTGAGCCCAGGAGTGGGAGGTTGCTGTGAGCAGAGATGTCATGGCACTCTACCCAGGAGGACAGCTTGAGGCTCCTGTCTCAAAAAAAAAAAAAGAATCTCCTGGACTGGTACACAGAGCACTCTCCCATCCCCAACCAGAGTGCAGCAGCTGCTGCCTCACCAAGTCTCCCAATCCAAGTCCCCCATTAGGCTGGCCCAGAACAGGAATAGAGCAGCCCACAGCTTCTGCAAGGACAGAGGGGGTGGCTGCAGCTAAACCTGGCTTGGCGGGTGGCTTACTTGGGGTGGGGCAGAGCCTTAGCCAGGGGTAAGGAGTGGGGGCAGGATAACTGGGTTTCTGGGCTCCTCAGGCTCTGCTTCTCTCTCTAGTGGCCTCAGGCAGGGCCAGGGCCTCACTAAGCCTTTGTAACCTCCAGAAGAACCTAGCTGCCCTGTGTGTGATGATAAACACACTCTGATAAACATAGTACTGCTGATATATATATATATATATATATACACACACACACACCCTCCCACCTGGTTTCCAAAAGGATTCGCAACAGCTTTCACAAGAGGCAAAGAAATGAGCATTTACATTGAGCCAGAGTTTACACATGGGACCCTCACGTCACAGGTGTTGGGAAGTAGAACAGGGACAAGAAGAGGGATCTCAGATCCCTCCAGGAAACTCATCTGTATGAACGTGAGCTACCCATCAGGGGAGGTAGGCAAGTAGAGGCCAGGCCAACTCTGATGGGGGTGTGGCTGGGGAGGGATCCAGGTGTCAGATGCTAAGGTCCTGCCTGGGGATGAGGTGACTCTGGCCCTGCTAGCCCAGCCACAGCCCTGCCCCCAAGGAAGACAGCCTGAGATAAAGCTGGGGAAAGGGGGTGGGGGTCTGTCTCGATTCCTCTTCTGTTGCTCTAACAAAATACCACGGGTAACTTAAAAGCTATAGAAATTTCTCTCTCATGGATCTGGAGGGGCTGGGAAGTCACTGCTTCAGTGAAGGGCCACCTTGTTGTGTCATCCTTCAAGGGAAGGCAGAAGGGCCAGGGAGCAACAGAGGGACAGAGGCCTGATGGCACGACCCCTTCCACATAACCTACTCCCCAGAGAACTGCATCCCTCCATTGGCAGGTCAGAACCTGGCCACCTCTCATCAGCAAATTTCCAGCACACAGACTTTGAAGGACACATTCAAGCCACAGCAGAGCGCTTGCCCGTCCCTTCCCATTCCCAGAGTTACTCAGGTTTAAAGACTAGAAAGGAGGGGGCTGCCATGCTGCCAAGTGGACAGCGTGGGCTTTGCTCCCCTCCCCCCAGCAAAGCCAGGCAGCCAATGTAGAGCATACCCCAGCACGGCGCTCAGTTTCCAGCTTTGGTGTTGTTCACTGTCCAGCCTTGTCTTCTCTGAGGGGCACAGTGGGGGGCTGACTCACTTCTGGAGAAGCCCCCAGGATCACACCCCACCCCCATGAGCAGAGCCAAAGCACCACCCCCAGGCCAAACCTTGGCACTGTCCTGGCAGGGCCTGGGTCTCTGGACCCTGCTGCCGGGTTCTTGGACTCCTCATTGGGGCTGGAGGACAACTTACCTGCACGTATCCCGAGATTCCTCTATCACTGTCCCACCCCCATCCGAGCCAAACTCTGAACAAGACAGACCCCTCCCGGTCGGTGACAAGAATGCAAATAAATAAATACGAAGAAAATACAGGAGGGAAAGGTAAGCGGGAGGGCTCTCTGAAAACATAGCACCTGGGTAGAACATCTTGGAGAAGAGCTGCAGAGGACAGCTGGTGCAAACACCCTGAGCCGCCCTTGCGAGCATGTGAGACCCGGTGTGGCTGCCGAGCAGCACGGCTCGAGGGCTGTGTGGCGCTGGGCACTGGAGCCATCAGGAGGACTGCTCCTGGACGGTGGGAGCCACCACAGGGACTGCAATGGGGCAGGGGCCGAGCTGGTATTTTACAAAGGAGGCTGCCGCCCGGGCCCTCCAAAACCAGCTGCGGGACCCTCAGAGTCAGCCGCCCCGCGCCTGCACAAGCCCCCTGCCGCATTTGTTGTGCTGCTGCTGAAGGGGTTAAAAATGAAACAGAAAGTCCACATGGCTCTGCCTTCTCTGTCAAAGGGAGAAACTCATTAGTCCTGGGCCTGGAGCGGTACTGCCAGGGGCTTAAAGCCCCGGCCGGGTCCAGCCTCAGACCCCACCTCAGAGCCGGGTGGAGTGGGGCCTCTGCAGAGGTCGCGGGCTTTGTAAAAAGGCTGGGCCTGGGACGGGCTGTGCTTCGTAAATGTCAACGTGATCCGCACCCTGGCTTCCCTGTTTTGATGCCCAGACACTTTTAAAAAATAAATAAATAAGAGACAGGTTCGCTCTGTGCAACCCAGGCTGGACCAGCACCGGAGTCTTGACCTGCTCAGCTTCCAGCTCGGGCCGGTTCACCACCTCAGGCACCTGGCAGCCAGCTCGCAGGAAGTGGTCCGCAGCTGCAGAACCGAATGCGGGCGGCGCCCCTGGGCCCGGGAGACGCCGCACCGCGGCCTCCCAAGGAGCTGGCAGGACAGCGCTGGGAATCCGTAAGCCACCGCCGCACCTGCGGGGAGCCTTCAAATTGTAACAGAGCTGTTCCATCCAGCCGTGTTCGGCATGCTGTAAACTAGGACTACCTGTAGCGTCTGTGACACTGCGTGGGGTTGCCGACTGTAAATTACTCCGGTGTTCGGTAGCGGCCAAAAGCTCTGCAAACTGGACAGCCCTCTGCACGAGTTAGAAGGCTGGGCACTACCGGGACCGTGCGACTGGGCCCCAACCCCTCATCCCCTGCAGCTCAAAGCTCGGAGCCAGCTGGCTGGGCAGGGTGCGGCGAGGCTGGGCCGGCCCCCAGGACCGGCCAGTGGGCGGGGCGCTCAGAGCCCGCTCTGGTACTCTGCCGCCCCTTGGCGGCTGCAGGGGGAAGTGGCCCGGGCCGCGCCCCTGGGCCCCGGGTCGGGTCCTGCAGGCGCACCTGCACACTCCACGGACGCACGCGCCTACGCTCAGGGCTGTAGAATCCTTCCCTCTCTCATTCATGTGTTAGTGCATTCATTCAACGAAGGTTGACTGAGCGCTCCCTAGGTGTCGCTAGTATTCTAGGCCCTGGCGACACAACAGTGACAGCCCTGGCCCAGAGAACACAGGGTAACTAGCTGAAAGACCTCCCTGAGGAGGTGACGCAGGAGACCCATAATGGCAGAGAGGGAGCCGGCCAGGAAGACGGGGAAGAGGCATAGAGCACAGTCAGCACAAAGGCCCTGGATGGGAAGGCCCTGGAACCAATGGAAGGACCCCTGTTCCAGGCAGGCTTCATCGGCAGAGCCTGTCCCAGACAGGGCTGAAGAACGAGCGTGGTGGAGTCAGGGGAGAGGCAGACATCTGGGGACTGGTGCTCCAATCCTGGGAACACACCCTGTTTTGTTTTGTTTTGTTTTTTAAGACAATCTCATTTGCCTTGGGTTGAGTCCCTTGGCATCATATCTCACAGCAACCTCAAACTCTTTGTCTCAAGCCATCCTCTTGCCTCAGCTTCCAGAGTAGCTGGGACTACAGGTGCCTGCCACAGTGCCCAGCTATTTTTTTTAAGAGACTGGGTCTCACTCTTGCTCAGGCTGGTCTCAAACTCCTGAGCTCAAGCAACCCGCCTACCTTGGCCTCCCAGAATGCTAGGATTACAGGTGTGGGCCACTGCATCCAGGGAACACACCTTAATTGTCCCTGGAGGGCCAGAAGGTCCTGCTCTTAAGACATGAGGTGTGGTGGGCCAGTCATGAGAGCATGTGACCCGTCCCTGGCCCAGGACTCTGGGTGGAGCTCTGGGACCAGTCTACTAAGCTGGTGGGAACCCCTGGGTCCTGACTTGTCCCCACAGAGCCCAGGAGGACACAACCCTTCAGGGCACTAACCAAGCTCCTTGGACCCAACCCTGCCTCAAGCAAGGCACTTCCACCCACATGAGCAAACTCCCTTCTGCCTACCTCTGATGGAGGATTTCTGCCCCAGCCCACACCTCAAGATCAGAACCAGACTGGATCTTCATCAAGCTGCTCCACTAACCTCAGAGCTTTCTCAAAGGACAGCTGTCCTTGAGCCTGCTTCCCCATCTTATAAACTGTGTGGCTTTTTGCTAGTTACCTTAGTCTCTGGGCCTGTTTTCTTACCTATAAACAAGGGGTCACATAACATCCTCAATGTGGGGACAGGTGGCTGCCACCAAGGTACTGGCCTGTGTGCTCTGTCCAGTGTCCAGCACCAGGCCTGTATGATCACAATGTTACCTGATCACAGCCCTCTGGGAGTTTCAATGTCCTCAGATGTAAAAGGGCCTATAAAGTGTAGGCCCTGGGGGGACCACTGTCCCCAGTGCCCTGAGCACACAACCCAGACCCTGTCCCAGAGCCAAGTGGTGCTTCTAGGGGCCACAGACCTTGCCCAAGGAAGAATGGAGCTTGCGCCATCATACACAGTCTCACACAACCTTTTGTCCCACTTTTTTTTTTGTTTAAATTAAAACAGCAACCAGGAAACTGTACCCACCCACCAGGGAAAAGATCCAGGATGATGGGCAGGCCTTTCTTCAAAAAAATATATTTTCTTTTTTTGTCTGTTTTTAAAATGCCACCAAGGCAAATCCATATCCCCTTATTGAGCCAGTCCCCAAGGAGAGTGCGCCCGGCAGGCTCCCCTGGTGCCTCAGTAAGTAGAGACCTTGGCCCATCCCGTAGACCCCAGCCTTGAGCAGAGGGCTAGGAGAGAAGTGATCAGCTCCAAACCATGCAAGAAAAACCAGCTAAACCCACAAAGCAAAGAAAAAAGGGGGGAGGGATAAATTACAAAAACAAAAACAAAGAAATGGTGAAACAACACCCCTAGAGGTGCCGGACAGAGCTAGGTGACAAAGAGGCCCTATTTGCCAGTGCTGGAGGGAGGCCAGGGCAGTTCATGGCTCTCCCTTGCGGAAGTCTCAGAATTCATATGGCTTATCCCCCTACTTTGTCCCCTGCACCAAAGCCAGGACAGAGGTGTGGCTGCCCTGAACCAAAGTGTGCAAAGTCCATTCAGTTGAAAGCTAAAAAATGATACAACTTGGGTGGTATCCAAGCTGGGCAAGGCAGCAGCCTATCCACATGACACTGGCTATGTCTCTGTGAGGGGCAGCAGCATCTGGCAGGGGGCATCCAGGCCCTCTAAGTCCAGGGTCTCAGCAGCTGGAGCCTTGGGGTCCTCAGAGCATCAGGGCAGAGGCACTGGTGGGGTCTGTCTGAGCCCCCAATGGTGTGGTTCTTTGGCACTTGGGACAAACGGCTCGTTGCAGAGCCGGGCAGGAGCAGCCCCCTCAATTCCTCCCAGGCACCCCAGGCCAGGGTGGCTGTAGCTTATGGGTGGGGCACACACTGTCCAAGCAGAGGAGGCTGTGGGCTCTGGAGGGCCAGAAAGGGGTCCAAGGCCCAGTCCTTACGAGTCCTCTCCCAAGATCTCTTTCACGAAGGCAGCAATGTCCGTCTTCTTGGTTTTATGCAAAGTAAAGAAGGGGTGCTCCTGGGGGTGGGTGACAGAAGGTACAATCACTGTGGGGCAGGGGAGGGGAGATATCTACCTCTCCAGCCAGCCCAAGCCCCAAGTGCTACTCCTGCCTGACAAACTCCTACTCACCCTTCTAGGATCTTCCAGTCCCATGAAGTCCTCCCTCCATGACTAACAGAGATGGCATTCAGGCTCCTTCCTGGCCCTCCTGTAGTTACTCTCCAGCTACACTAACCCCACTTTTTCCTACATTTGCCACTATCCACACTGGACCTTCTGCTTAGAATGCCCTCTCCACCCTGCCCCCCATCAGCAGATAACCCTCCAGGCTCACGTCAACCTCCAGATAGCCCTTCCTGAAGCCACTCTTGGCCCCCTTCCCCCTTCTGTCACAGAACTGCCTGTGTGCCCTTCCCAGTGCCTGGTGAAGAAGGGAGCCAGGTATGTGAGTATACGAGCCACTGAGTTCTGAAACAAGTTAGCAAAGGGCCCAGCCAGAAGAGCTGTCCATGCACATGCTAGGACACAGCCTCTCTCCAGAGAGCCCACCAGCCACTGACCAGCCCCAGAGAGGGTAGGACAAGCTCCTTCTCACACTTACCATCAGTTCCAGGTAGCTCATGCGTTCGGCAGGGTTCTTCCTCAGGCTAGGACAGAATAGGGCAGCTGAGGTCAGGCCTGCCCGGAGCACACATACTCCTAGGGCTCCGGGAAGATGGGGCAAGACCAGCCAGGGGGTCTCCTGGGGGGGGGAATCCATGGGGCAAACTACAGAGACTTGCAGTAATTTTTCTGGCTCTTGGGGCCTTGTTTCTTGTCTCCTTAGTGACCTAGGGACTTTCCATGATACCAACACAAAAATGCCACCGAAATGCTCTGCCTAGCAACCAGGTGCTTGGTACCCTCAATTAGAAGAGGGAGAGAAAGGCCCCAGTTAACCTTCTGACTGTGAGTAACAGTCACTTGATGACACATGTCACTGTTACCTGCCTGGAGTCTGTGAGCATCATACACTTCGTTCTCAGTTTTTTCACTGTTGTGCCTGATATAACTGAAACCAACTTGGGTGAATTATTTTGATTAGTAAGAAACCAAAGAACGTCCAGGAGCACCCTATATTGTGAGGGCTGCTGTGGTCACTACAGCCTCACCTGACACAGTTCACCAAGTGGTCTGCAGTCAAAGGGTTAAAAGGGGCCAAGCTGACCAGTGACTCTGCTGGGCTTATCTGTTTTCAGTTTTCCTCTGAATATCTCTTCTACTTCCTATGACAGACAATCCCTCAGGGCACATTCCAATGTCCAGAGGCTATTTTTTTTTTCCTATGAATATCTCTTTGACTATAACACAGAGAAGTTGATCTGTTATGTTCTCATTGTCTTTTACTTCTAAATAACCTGTAATTTTCTTTTTAAAATATCTTTTGTAACTAAAGAGTTATTTAGAAGAATTTACTTTTAATTTCCACATGCCTTTTTCCTTTTTAGTTATTTCTTGCTCTACTTAAATGTGGCCAAAGAATGTGGTCTGTGTGACTTTGCCTTTTTATTTCCTTTGTAACCTCAAACACGATTAATTTTTTTTTTTTTTTTTTGAGACAGAGCCTCAAGCTGTCCCCCTGGGTAGAGTGCCGTGGCATTACAGCTCACAGCAACCTCCAACTCCTGGGCTCAAGCGAGTCTCCTGCCTCCGCCTCCCAAGTAGCCGGGACCACAGGTGCCCGCCACAGCGCCCGGCTATTTTTTTGGTTGCAGCCGTCATTGTTGTTTGGCGGGTCCAGGCTGGGGATTCGAACCCGCCACCTTAGGTGTACGTGGCTGGCGCCTTAGCTGGTTGAGTTATAGGCGCCGAGCCAAACACGATTAATTCTTACGGAGGCTTCCACGGGGATCCTTTAATTTGGTGCAAAGTTCTAGAAATAAAACCAAATCATTTCTTACATGTTCAAATCCTCCACATGCTTTTTTTTTTTTCCAGTCTACCTGACCTGTTCATTTTTGGAGGAATAATATTAACATCTCCCACCAAGATTACACTTTTGTCAAATTTTCCTCCTACTCTGATTCTGCCTTCCATTTTTTGATGCCATGTTGTTTAGAGTTTATTTGCTAAAGGAGAAGGAATGAGGCCTAGGAGGGAGCTGCTACCTGGCCAGGGCATGGAGGGGTGCTGACTGGGGCTTGGCAGCATAGGATACTCACCACTGTGCAGTGAAGTCTACAAACTCAGGGGAGAAATGCTCAGCTGGAAGCTGGGGAGATGGCTCCTCCACCACCTGCTTCAGCTGCTGGAATGGGGTCCCCCAGGACTCATAAGGGAACCGTAGAATGGCCATCTCAATCTGCAGTAGGGACAGTGACAGCAGAGGAGTGAGCATGCCCCCAGCCACCAAACGGACCTATACTCTGTACACAGGAGCCAGGGTGACAGGGAACCTGCCTGTCCTAGTGCCCAGAGCCAGTATGAGGCAGGGTCCACAGTAGCTGACCGCCCTGACACATCTTAGCAAACCAATAGTGGGGGCTGCTCTGACCACCATCAGGCTTCCAAACAACCTGAACTCAGAAGACTTTACAACAACCCAGGTTCCTGCAGATCCAGAAATATCTAAAGAATTAGCAACCATGAGTTTGCACCTTCTGCAAAGTAGCAGTTGGCAAAGAAGCTCAATTAGAGAGGACTTCAGGTCCCAGGTTGTCACGAGCCAGCCTTCTCCCTGACATTCCCTGCACTTGAAATGTGGTTTCTACAGAGGTGAAAAGGAACCTAGTCTCCCACACACCTCTCCCCAAGCCTGTGGAAGAACAGGAGCCTATGAGGCCTGCTTCACCCTCCACTACAGCCCCATGCCCCACTGCTGCCTCTCCACATCACTGTTTCCACACATGAATGGCAGACCCAGCTCTGCACCCACCCTTGACCTGGGTGGCCTCCTGACTTGCTCTGATACCAGGAGGCATGAGGCATGGAGTCCCATGCCCTGCCTACAAGGTGTGGGAAGCCACCGTGGAAGACTGGCTTCTGATTTTGACTGCTAGATGGAAAAGACAAGTCAGCCCAGGCCCTGCCTAGGACAGCAGAGAATTCGGAGGTTCCGGTACAAGGCCCTCACTTCCACACAGTAATCACCCTAATGAGCGGAAGAGACCTCAGCCCAGACAAATGCCTCCTGTTGGCAACTGGCACCCAAACAGGTCACTAATTACTGAGCTAAGAAAGGGCCTTCCCATTAGCTGACAAGCCCTAACAGCCAAGACACAAACTCGCCCACAGATAGAGACACACTCAGACAGAGGTGTTCACAGGACAAAACTGACTGCCACAGTACTTTCTCTCAGACCCTCACTGACTCCAAATGCAGAAACAATGACCGCCAGAGTTTATGATTAGAAAAAACAAGCCACTAGAGTTTATGATTAGAAAAACAGAAGAACTTAATAAATAAAAAATAAGAACAGCCTCTGGACACTGGGATGTGCCCTGTGGCATTATCTGTCATAGGAAGTAGAAGCAGCCTAAGTATCCAGCACCAGGCACCAACCCCAACATGAGCCCAGAGCCTTCCCAAGCATGACCCCATCTATTCCAGCTAATTCTCATTGATTTCCTATGTCAAGTGCAGTGTGTGAGAACAAGCCAAGTGCCCTGGACAGCTCCCCAGGGCCCTCCACGAGAACAGGGGTAGCCAGAGCCCTTCTCGGAGGGACATTTTTGACCCCATTTCACCAGTCACTCCTCCAGGATGACCAAGGACTTCAGATGGAAAAAAAAGTCAGAAGCAAGTGAAACATCCCACATCAGGGGAGCAGGGGAGCACATGGTGGAAGAGAGTTATGGAATCTTTGAAAGGTATGTCTATAATCATTTATTAGAATTCAGATAAATATGAATATCATGTAATGCTAAGTACAAAAAGCAAAATAAAACATATGTGTATTTTTTAAAAAGAAGCAACACAAAAGTCTATAAGAAAATACACACTGCACTGGCAATGGGGAGAAGAGGTGTGTCTTTACACGGAATAACTGTGGTCATCTTCCTCCAACTCTGCCTCTGTATTTTAATGTTTGGTTTTCATTACTCCTGTAACTTGGCAGGGAGGACCTCACCTGCATCGTGGCAATTTGTCTGCCAAGTGGCCACTACCACCTTTCCCTGTGTGCACTTGCCAGTCTTCCTGTGACATAGGCCTTGACCTGGGTGGCCTCCTGACTTGCTCTGATACCATGAGGCATGAGGCAGAAGCAAGGCTATGCCAGTTCCAGGGATATCATGCAAGGGGACTTCCTATTTTGGAAGCCAGCTACCATGAAAGGATTTCAATTACACTGACATTGCTATTCTATGAGGAAGGCCAGTGACCAGCCCAATGTGAGGAAGTCATATGTAGAGGCTACGGTGAGGAACCCCATGCTGGTATAGCCTTGTTGGACAGCCTAGCCCAGGCTGGTGTGAGCCCAGCCAGTGCCAGGTGCAGCAGAAGAACCAACGGGCTTAACCCAGTAATGAGCCACTATTGGTTTAAGTCACTAGGTTCTGGGATGCTTTGTTATGCAGTATTTGTTAACTGAAAGATGCACTTAGTACACACTTGTCCTTGTTCTACCAGAGGTATCAGAAGGTCACAGGTCATAGCAGGTCACAAATAATAATGATGGATGGATAGTTGGAAGGGATGCAGGGAAGATGGGAGGGAGGGGGAGTAAGGTTGTATGTCATGTATGAGGTGGTCTCAAGAGAGATCTCTAACATCCACCCAGCCCTATGCAGTCTGTAAATGCAACAAGAATCCTATATACTTGCTAACTCAGGAGCTGGAAACTCTTATCTGCAGGTATACTACTTGCCTTCAGACTCTGAACAGTCAGCTTCACTTCAAAAAGAAGAAAAGGGTTAATTGTAAAAGAACATGTTGGCTCGGCGCCTGTGGCTCAAGTGGCTAAGGTGCCAGCCACATACACCTAAGGTGGCGGGTTCGAATCTAGCCCAGGCCCACCAAACAACAATGATGGCTGCAACCAAAAAATAGCTGGGCATTGTGGTGGGCGCCTGTGGTCCCAGCTACTTGGGAGGCAGAGGCAGGAGACTCGCTTGGGCCCAGGAGTTGGAGGTTGCTGTGAACTGTGCACGGCATTCTACCCAGGGCGACAGCTTAAGGCTCTGTCTCCAAAAAAGAAAGAAAAAGAACATGTTGGCTCAGTGCCTGTAGCACAGTGGTTATAGCACCAGCCACATACACCGAGGCCAATATGTTCGAACCCAGCCCAGGCCAGCTAAAACAACAAAGACAACTGCAACAAAAAATAGCCAGGCATTGTGATGGGTGCCTATAGTCCTAGCTACTTGGAAGGCTGAGGCAAGAGAATCACTTAAGCCCAAGAGTTAGAGGTTGCTGTGGGTTGCAACCCATAGCACTCTACTGAGGGCAACATAGTGAGACTCTGTCTCAAAAAAAGAAAAAAATAATAATAACATGTTATTTTTGAAAGTATTGGTAGTATTGATATTGAAAGTATCACCCGGCTCGGCGCCTATAGCTCAACCGGCTAAGGCGCCAGCCAC